GAGGAGTAGCGTGATAATTAACAACGTGATAACTCTAAAACTGACAGCCAAGAACTCCATTGGTACAGGGTGATTTGCAGAAGTGACACTATCTGTTTTCTTTAACCACTTTTAATTCTGGCCTAACATTCTGAGAATGGGAATAAGCTGTATCAAAAAACCACCCAAAATTATCAATCAGTACAGCACATTTGTTTTCCCACGCATCAGCCATGCTCTTCAGTAACAGTCTGTGAAAAACTGCTCCATCAATTCTGAGATATCTCATGTCTGGCTGCAGTTTCAAGTTGCATTCACATACTTAGGGCTTTTAATCTTAGCTGAAAGTCATGCTGCATTATGTATTCTACCTGGTAACAGCTAGTTTGTACAGAACTCCATTGGCCTAACAGTTGGACAGCTGAGGTTAATTTCCTTAATGGAAGGTTTTTTAAGCACTGTTGTGGTGCATGGTAGTTGTTAGCTTTACAACACAGGTCACAACATAAAATAGCCTAAATGCTTAATCTTGCAAGTAGGACTTTTTTTTTTTTAAATTGGAGAAAAAATTATAACATAAAGCATACTAAGTTTAAGTGAATGTTTACATTTGTGTACAGAAGAGCTACTGGGTTCTATTATGGAGAAGCACACCAGCTTCTAGACCATGCTTCATCACCCATTAGCAAAACACTCTGGCTATTGCCAGAGACATCACCAGTAAACAAGATCAGTTCAAGCATCTGAAATTCTCATTTGCCTAACTGTGGATTAGGAACCTGAAATCACAAATTTGTTAAGTTTCCCAGATCAAATTTAAACCCCTAAGTAAATATTGAGCAAATCTATGCAATTCTCAAAGCTGCAAACACAACTATATCAGCAAGAATGCTAAGCAATGTTCCAAAGTACAGAAGAACACTGTCAATCGTGGAAGTTTAAAAGAAATTCATTAAGGACAAATCAATCTAAGCTACACCACTTCAAGTGGATCATTTGTGCAATAAAATGTAAAAATCGTATTTGTAACATTAGATAAGACAGAGTAATGATGGTTAATTTAAGCTGTAGAGTAATCCGCCATAATATGCACTGCAAATTTAGTACTTGTCTGAAGCTGCACCAAGTGTGAAAAAGTGACTATTCCAAGTTGCAAACTGCAAAGCTAATTTAGTGTGACAATAACATAGACTCGTCTGTATGGTGGACAGGACAGCTGTAGGCCCTGACGAGATCTGACATCCAAAGCACTATTTATCTACATTTTACCCTGATACAAACCTTAAGGGACAGACACACAGAATAATGGATCCCATCCTGTGCTATCAAGTACTTCACAAAGAGCACCAGCATTATCACTTTCATTATGGATCATTCTGTTTCTGGATCACTTTCCTTCAAACGTGTGTGGAACCAGATGAATTAAATAATGTAGACAGAAGTCAGACACAGACATATGCAGAATAAACAAGAATTCTAGAAGAAGGGATAGGACCGTGTCAACCCGTCTTTTGAACACCTCCAGGGATGGTGCCTCAACCCCTTCCCTGGGCAGCCCATTCCAATGGTGAATAACCCTTTCCGTGAAGAATTTTTTCCTAATATCCAATCTAAACCTCCCCTGGCGTAACTTGAGGCCATTTCCCCTTGTCCTGTCTCCTGTGACTTGGGAGACGAGACCGACCCCCGCTTCTCTACATCCCCCTTCAGGTAGTTATAGAGCGTGATAAGGTCTCCCCTCAGCCTCCTCTTCTTCAGACTAAACAACCCCAGCTCCCTCAGCCGCTCCTCATAAGACTTACAAAGAAGACTTAAAAGAAGTTCTAAGAACTTCAAGACTAAACTAGAGATCATCTACAAGTAATAAAATTGCTTATGCGTTATCCACAAAACAGATGAAATAGTAACATCCAGATAGGAAAGGACTGGGTGGAAGACTGTGGACACTATCTCTAGAAGCTGAAACGGAGTCCAACATTAGCAAATTGCTTCTACAAAAATACATTAAGAGGTACAAGACTAATTTTCCCCTCCAGCGGTAACCCCAAGAGGATAATGTTATCTATCAGTTTAATATTGTAAATTAGCACAGGTTGTGATTTCAACCTGAGTATGTCTGGATGATACTATCTATGTAATATTTTCTTTTGCTAAGTAAATAAATCTTGCAGAAACTATACACAAAAAATGTGTTAAAACAAGATAAAGTCAGTATGTTAGAAAATTATGATTACTTTCTTTAATACAACCATACATTTTATCTGCAGTCCTGGCCTCAGCCAGCAAATGAGAAGGATCTGCTATAAAAATGAATCACAGTTGTGTAAGAACAGACATTTGACAAGAAGAGCTCTTCCTTGTTTGATGCAGAGGTGGAAAGGTACTGGAAAAAAAGGCTTTATGGTCTAGGCAAAGAACTTCTGCTTGAAGAAACTGGATTTCATCTTTGCCTTTCAACAAAGGTTCAGTGACATGAAGCACGTGATTCAGATTAATCATTTTTCAACAACCACTACACAAGAACTCTTCAATTCTGGGCACCCATCATAAAATTTAGTTGGAATCCAACTGGCAGAAATCATGGAAGCATCTATATGCAACTCAAGTCAACAGAGACTGACTTGAATATATTAGATAGATAAAACTAGACACTAGGTATCTCAACTTTGCTAACCAACACTACTAAGAAGTCCTCTCGTTTCTTTGGGGCTTTCTTCTTTTTGTCCAGAATTCTTTGAAAACCATTTTAAGCACCGTACCTTGGAATCTTGAGAAGCAACCATCTTCACGGTTGGCTTGAACATACACAATACACATATAAGGCTTATGCTGATCATGGTACCACAATGAGATGGTCAAGGTAAACGTGCTGTCACAGAATACAGGATATAGCAAGGCAGTGGTCTCACAATAATAATAATAAAAAAAAGTAATCATTTTATTCAAGCCACATGACTTGTCTGCAAGGGGAATACCGTGGTATTATAGGATATTTCAGAATGCGAATGGTTCCCTTTTATAGTACCAGCATCTTACGGGTTTTTAAATGAGCACAAAGACATTCAAATTAAAACCTCAAACATTTTGTTTACCCACACAGGAATCCAACAAATCCCAAGGGCTAATTAACATGCTGTAACGAGTTCTATAATGACAAAGTAGTCAGCTCAATTTACACTGAAGGTAGTGAGGCCAAAAAATACTTAAGTGACTTCACTGAGGAACAAATTAAAAAAAAAACAAAAACAAAAACAAAAACAACCAACCTGATTTAAAAGCCTGTTGTTGCCAAAAAGGAAAGGAAAGGAAGACCTTACTCAAATATGACACCTGCAGTGTTCTTTGTTGAGCAACCTCAACACACTATCCTGGCAAAACAGACTTCTGGCTTCTCCATCATTTTGACTCTACTCACAATGGCATCCAACAGCAGAGAGATGAGAAAGAAAACAGCAGGGTGAGAAGAATCCTCTCATCAAAGCAACATATTTCATCAGCACATGCCATGTTATACAACTTAGCAATCCAAACCTCATGGAAACATCTGGAAACAACTCTTGTCCCCTGGAATACGGGATAGGTGTGATGCCTCTGAAGAGCTGGTAAGAAAACAAGTTCTGAAACCGAATTTTAAAGTTGTACCTGGGAAGCAGATGGCCACTTGTAACGGGAGATGGAGATGAACAGCCTATTTTGAGTATAAAGCTCAGATGTCCTGCCCTTGTTGATCTGTCATTATAAACGATGAACTAGACCTAACTTAGCCATGGATAGAGATAACATGAGATAAAAGATCCAAGAGGCCTTTGCGGGAAAGCTGTGTAATCTCAAAAAGTAAAAATAACACAAACAGCAAATATTTCAAATTAAAACTTCTCACTCCTCCTCTCTTCTGCCCTGCCCCCCTCTCAACTGAGAAATGAGGGCCAATTTGAGGCAGTCATGTCTACCGGTACAGGAAGCCTTTGACAGTTTCCATGCTTTCTACTAACTATATAATTCTTCTACCCTCAGAAAGCAGCACACACTTCACTCTCAGCTCCAAAATTCAAGTTCTGTATGTTGGAACTAGGCAGTGACACTTCTACCTGAGACTCAAGCTTTTACACCTACAGGTTTTTGCATGGCTTGATGCACAGCTGTTCCCAAGACTCTCTCCCTGTCATCACGTGTCTTCCGCGGTGTTTACTCACAATCACGTTTTTATGACAAACAAGATGCAGTTCAGCGGCAATTCTCTCAGTCTGCACAATTCTTTGCTCGGGCTATTCTGTCAACCTTCAATCAAGGAAGGCTGACAAAAACCTCAACAGCCTCTCAGGAGTCCCATGAATAAAGGAAACGTTTACAAATACCTTTCGTCTGCCTACGCTGCAGCAGCCGGTGCCCCGGCGCTGGGCTGTCCCGCAGACCGGAGCCAGCCGGCTCGGGGCTCGGCAGAGCCGCTAAAGAGGGCACCGCACCCTCCTCTCCGGACCCGGCCAGCAAGGTTTCCACCCGGCCAGCAGCTCAGGGCCGCGCCGCGCTCCAACCCAAGGCCAAACCGGGGCTCTCGCCAGGCCGAAGGGCAGCGCCGGCCTCTACGCCGGCCCGCCGGGCAGCGCCTCCTCAGACGGAGGGAAGGGGCGGGGGGCAGCGGGTGTCACACAGCTCCGCTGCCCGCGGAGGCCGTCAGAAGCGCTCGGCAGAGAAAAGGATGGAGGGGCCGAGCACTAGCCCCGAGACAAAATGGTTCCCCCCCGGCCCCGCACACAGGCGCAGGCTGGGCCGTGCGGGGACATCTTCCCCTCCTCGACACCGCAAGCGGCCTGTACTCACCCTCACGACACGGGCATTCAGGGGCGGAGGCGCCAGCGAGAGGGACCACGTAGAACCGGGCCCAGGGTCCGCCGCTCCGACCCCGCCGCTCCCTGAACACAATGGCGACGGCGGCGAGCCCGCACGGCTGTCAATCACCGCCCGCGCCCCGCCCGTGCCCGGCTCTCGCGAGAACTGCGGCGGTGCGGGGCCGGGGGGCGGCCGTATGGGCAGGCTCCGGGCCGGGGGCGGCGGGTGCGGGCCCGGCGTGGGGCCGGGGTGGCGGGGAGCACGGCTGCCCTCGGCTGTGGAGAGGGCGGAATGACGGCACTCCGCAGGGTGAACACGGCCTGAAGAATCCTCACGGTAAAGACAGAACTGCTTTTCTTCTTGTGGAGAAACATCCCAGAAGCCACACTTTGAACCGACTTTCTACGTTCAGCCTTGAAACTACAAGCAGAGGTTTTGAGTTTTCTCGCTATGCTTCATACTCTTCCCAGTTCTGCTGTTGATTTATAGATAATCGCTGTTCCGGGAACGGCCACGGGAGCCGGAGCCCGGTCTGGCTTCCCTGGGGATGGGGCGATACTGGGAAAAGCCTCCCCAAAGCAATGGAAATGCCATTCGCTTTACTTGCATTCAGATTTCATTTTTGTCCTCTTGAAAGCAAGACTTTAGCAGACATTTTTACCCAAGGGAAAGATTTTCCGTGACTTAGGAATTCAGGAGATAATCTTACTAAATTCTGAAAATGCTAAGCTTTCGCAAAATCTCTGTCAATCCTAAACAAATGCTGGTTTTCCAGTGTCCCTGCCCACTACAGAGTACAGCAGAGACCTCGCGCTCTTGTGTTTTCTGGACCAGGCTCTCCAGAAGACCTGATGTCTTACTGCTATGGAGTCAGGGCTTCTTATCACTGCTGCCACAGTGTTTTGTTGATCCAGTATCATGTGTCATCAGCCTATAACAGGGCTTTCCCAAATCCCAATATCACAGCGAGTGCCCTCGATCGCATCGTTGCAAGTCAGATAAAGGGGTCATTCTTTAAGGGAGGAAAAAAGAAAAAAAAAACAACAACCCCAAAACCCAGGAAACAGGAGCAGCCGCTCTGGCACAGGGTTACAACACACACAAATTTAATGCGTGCATGCCTAATTGCTCTGACAGATCTGGGACACGTGCAAGACCAGCCAGGCTGGTTAGAAACTAGCCAGGTGGCATCTCTAAATTACAGGACAGTCCTATGTTTGGCAATATCCTTGATTCTGTTTCTCATTCATGCTTTTCCATGTGTTTGGATTGTGACAGGATATGTTCACTGACTCTTCCATACAGAAACGGTGGGCGAAGTACTAGTGAACTGGAGATGAGGACCAAGGGCTGGGAAGAGGCATAACCGGAGAGGGAAGCAATTGAGCAAAAACTGATAGGAGGGAAAGGCTGTGGGCTTTTTGCTGGTGTGCATGTTGCTTTTCAACAGCATGCTCAAAGCATGCTTATTGGGCTTGGAAAAAACTTGTCTATAGCAGACAGAAGAAGTCTGCTGCCCCTGACAATACCATTTATTTGGCATATCTGTCTCCAGGGAAAGAGGGCAGCTGGGAATGGACTTTATGAATCATTCCAGCAGTGGTGGCTGCCCTTTTTCCTGGTTAGCAAACAGGAACACTTACAGAAACAGTCAGATCTACATTAAATTCAATCCTTAAAGGAGGCATTCTGTCTTTCAGTCATGCACAAACCAACTAATTCACAGATCAAGCAAAATGACTGTGTGAATGTAGAGGACAGAGCATACAGCCCTCCTATCACCAGAACAGACCATGGCCACCACTAAGCAAGTCCATTTTGCTTTTCTTTATAAAAGCAAGTTAAAAGGTAAGTTGGGTAACTTCACAGCTCTTCAACTCAGTCTTCCTATCGTCAGAACAGGATTTACTGGGGCTGCTAAGAAAGATCATAGAATCACAGAATGGTTTGGGTTGGAAGGGACCTTCAAGATCATCTTGTTCCAACCTCCCTGCCCTGGGCCTACCACTAGACCAGGTTGCTCAAAGGTGTTATCTCAATCACTACACTAGCCCTTTTCAATGCAGCACACAATTTGTATCACTTGAGGGTTGATGCAGTACCCTTTTTTATTAGCAATCTATGAGCTATTTGTTGGCCATACTCTTGTCACAGCTTTGTCCCTCTTCTTAGAATAAAAAAAAAAAACTACACTATCACCTGAGCTCATAGGCTTGATTTTTTTTTTTTAATCTGCATAATGGATCCAAGATCTACCCCGTAGTATGCAACATTGCATAAATAGATTAGTTTAATTGCAAATATACAATACTGGGAAAGGGTAAGATATACTGATCAGTATCACCACATCACTCAAAGAGTTCTCCACATTGTGAAACCTTGCTAAAACGGCACCATCTAAGGAGCCGGGAATACAGCTTGGGATTTGTCTTAATGAAATTGTCAAAATGTTGGGTGGTTAAAGTCACAAGCACCTGTGTAGTAATGGACTTGTAAACATCAAAGCAGCAGATTTAGAATACATCTACTTCATCATGTCCTTTATCCATATCAAGAATATGCAGGAAATATGCAGATTCAAGTCAGATTATTAAAATTATTCAGATTGCTCAAAGACAGGTTGGACGGGGCTTGGAGCAACCTGATCTGGTGGGAGGTGTCTGTGACCAGGGCAGGGGGGTGGAATGAGATGATCTTGAATGTCCCTTCCAACCGAAACCATTCCATGATTCTTTTAACAGAGTTACTATCCCTAACTGCCCATTCTTACATCCTCTCACAAACGCTGCTTTTGCACAAATGACTGAAATTTTAATAGAGTATGTCCTTAACTTCAGTAGATCATAGTCTGAAATTTTTAGATGATCTTAAATCTGTGTTGTCTAGTTGTCTAGTTTTAATCTATCCATGTTAGTAAGTCATTCGTAAGTAAAATTCACTTCTAATAACCATCTGGAGATAGACACTTTAAAGAGTTTTAATAACATTTCTGGCCAGGCTGCAAGAATTTTAGTAGAGAGCACAATTTTTCTTTTTTTTTTTTTTAATGCAGTTTAGATTTCATCTTGAATATTCATTTGTTCCTAAGGCAATATCCTAAGAATTTTGACCCTCTCCTTTCAGTGAGAAATGGCAACAAGAAGATCCCAAATCAAGACAAGGTTTTTGGATGTGGCATGTTGTCACGTAGATGGTCCCATTCTATCTAACCATTCATGTTGGAAAGCTGGGCACAAGCAGAAGGAAGACTTCCATGGACAGCAGATATTGTGTCCTAGAAAAAGGAAAATGCATCCTTGAGTCACACATCAGTCCATTCAACACATACTATGAAACACAATTTTTGGAATACACCACCTGCTCTGTGTGCACAGTTTAGACTGCAGAAAAGGATAGGCTGAAGAACTTGCAGACAGACGAAACCAGGGCAATAACCAGGGCAATCTCAAATCATCCTTATACTCTGTTTTTTTCTGCATTAAAGAGTTACTTTAGGTCATGTGTGGACTTGTTCTTTTTACTGTATCAGCTAAAGCAAGTACTATGGAGATAGTCCCTACACATGACCCTATGCAGTTTCTAAGGGCCACCTTCAATTGGTTTAACCCTTGCCTTTTCCTCTTTGTGTTGACTTTAGCAGCAGGCTGTTGTGAGCATGACGCTTAATACTTGATAGGTTCCCTGGTTTCCAGGCTCCCGGGAGGAGATGTGGGGCTGCTTCTGGTTGACTTGCTAAACAATAAGGCAGCACCATATAAGTAAGTTTAGAACACGTTACAGAGGAGGGAAAACTGGGATGTCAGGAAAAGCAGAGTTCATGTCAGATCATCTATGGTAAACACTGCACAGGGAAAATTTCTGAAAGTGGACAGTGAACTCGGAAGTTGTCCTCAGAGGACAAATCCAAACCCTGGTCCACAACTTAAACAAATCTTGTAAGTATGTGACTATGAAAGGCTCATTTTAACCATCCAAACTGCGGAGTACACAGTTGTGATATGAAAAAGAAAAAAAAATAGTTTATTGCAGAGACAAAATAATTAAGAACAGATAAAGCCTTAAAGAAACGACTGTAATACTGCAAGTGAGAAAAACTGCATAATAAACTAAATTAAAATAAATTAACAAAATATATGTCTAGCCTTTACAATGCAGGCATTATTTTTTTAAGGCAAGGTCAAAATCACTGCTTTTAAACTTTTGGATATGGAAAACTGATTTAAATAAATCTAATTTTGATATGGGAAGCTTTGAAACTAAAACACTTTTTAATTTTATTGAAATCAAACTTAAATAATTTTGACGCTTACAGATCCCAGTTTTGTGAGATAAAACACTGCAGTGCACACCCATTTTAAATGGGTTTTCTTCTTCCTGTTACTTTACCTTATACATCTGTATTTCCTTTCCAGTATCCAGAAAAAAAAATTGTCCAGTGTTCCTCATAAGGAACATAAGCATAAAAATATTTACTTCATTCTGTTAGCAATTTCTCTTAATCAAGAAGGTTTTATGTGCCTTCTGAATTATATATGTTCTTGTCTTAAAAGAGTGCAAAGTAGAAGGCAGAGAAACCATATTAATAGGTTAAATTTCTCAGGTAATAATACTTTGAGCAGATAGACCAAGGGTACCCCTATCTTCTTTTAAACCTTTAATTCTATACTACAGATATATTTTGCAGGCTAAAAGAATGCATCTTAAACAGTACAAAAATATCTTAGAATTGTTAAAAGTTGTTTGGTTTTGTATAATAAAGGCGGTTAGTTCTTTAGTTTTTACTATAGCTACTATTTCTGCAATTCTAATATTATAAAAAGTGTGAATGTTTTAAAATCTTTGTTTAAAGTCTACTTCCTTCAACTGCATACTCTAAGTCAGGAAGAAGTCTAAAGCTCTATGAGGCACAGAATTCAAGTTCTAGTAATGTTTCATTACCAAGGAGCTGATTTGAACTAAAAATTGATCGAAATGTGTCCGTTGGTTGGTCTTCTCAGAATACCTATATTCTCTTTCATTCCTTTCTGTGGAGTAACTGATCTTCTTTCTAAACCCCAGGCAAATATTAAACAGAGATACACAAACTTTAAACAAAAAAATAATTCACAACTAACATATTCTTCAGCAGACAACAAGAACCATAACTACCTTGCCCCTTCCCAGTAGCTTTTATTATATGCTTAAAAAAAAAAAAAAGTGCATTTGTATACAAGGTATACAAATATCCTAATAAACAGGAAGAATTCTTAATCTGAAATCACATATATGGATTGATTCACATTTTTTAATACACGAAGCTAATAGTGAAAGGTCACAAAACATTTTAGAGAAAACAGAATATTTAAACAGCGATATTCTCTTCCATCTTCCTATCCAGGGTGGTGTCTTCTGTTAGGGACAGTGCTTGCAGATTTGAGAATACCTGATCTCTGCAGGTACAGAAAAACCCATGTGGCAGTTAATCTCTATTGCTTAATCCAGGCTAGAGCAGTGGATATTACTCCTTTGAAGATGAAAAGGTCTTTGCTTATTGTCATTTAGTAAGAAGTTTTTGCTACTGAAAACTTAGGAAAACTTGGACAGCCTTAAGAGATCTTTCTATGTGCCTAAAATATACAAATCTAATAATTGCACCAACCCAATGCATATATATACATAAACAAATGGGATTTAAAAAAGGTTTTGAACAAGCGTAATAGCAATGTAAGATTTTATCAAAATCTATCTGAGCTCTGTTACTGAAGACAGTACGTAAGTAGGGTGGGGAGCACAATATATTTTACTACTGTGTTGATGAGAATGGACTGGAATCCAGTAACAACATAATTATTGTTATTGTGTTATTGTGACTAATTTAGCGTTAAAGCAGAGGAGGAAGTGGGAGAAGCAAAGCATTAGGAATTACTAGTTGGCGTGTACACACAACAAGGCAATCATTGTGCTTTTCCTGTAATTGAAACACAGGCAGTAGAGTTGTCTCTCTCTCTACCCCTCTCAAAATAACTACTTGAATTTATTTATTTATTTTCTTTAATTTATATTATGTCCGTCATTTTTATGCTTAGGAACAAATGACTATGATTAAAACAGAAGACATTTTCAACTCTTGGTGAAACTACACCTCTCTGTTGCTCTTGCTGTATGGCTGAAAAGGTTCATACCCCTTTCTTGAGGTTCAACAAAGAAAAGACCAGACTAAATCTCTTCTTCTTGTGCCTAACACAAATGAGAAAATAAGTATCACAAAGATTTGACTTAATAAATCAAGTGTAGGGTTAGGAACATCATCTGGGTTCCAACTGTTATATGTACAAGAAGTGCATTTCACCTGTGGAAAAGCTGCTCAGCTGCTTCCTACAGCCTGATTTTCTTCTGCATTACAGCACCGATGTGGTAGATAAAGTCATGTAGTTCCTAAAAAATACATGTCTTGATCTAAAATAAAAGAGTACATAAATACAACAAAGTTCTAGTTAGAATTTACCTGATAATAAGTGATTTGCACTCAAAAAACAAGCCGTATTTTCTATTCTGTTTATTTTATACCAGTTTCAGATAAAGAAATTGAGGGAGAAAAGAAAAGGATTTTATTTTGACCAAGGATGGGGAGCCACCAGTCAGCAGAAACGTGACGGGGAAAGAGAGGAGATACCTTACACTTTTGGTGTAAGTTGTTCTTGGAGTTTTTTATCTGGGAGGGCCATGTGGGGCTGCGACAACGTATCCTCAGCTTTGCCTCCCCGAGAGGATGGGAAATAATGAGGACAACACAGACAATGCTGGAAACAGATCAGGGAGTAAAGATGCTCCTTGACTCCATGGGATATTAGAAAACTGGGGCATTTTTGTTGCTTTTTGTTGATTTTGTCACTGGTGTGATGACAAGAACACAACTGGTTTTAATGCTCCATGTCTTTTTTCAGAGAATGTGCTATAGACAAGTCACCTGAAGCAGGTTTCTGCGTTCATCTGGTTTGAATGAACTTGGGAGTCTCAGACAGCACATGGTTCTCTTGGAGAGCAGGAATCACACTGAGCTGTTCTGACCTCCATAGAAATGCTCTCATTTATTTTTGTCTCCCATCAGAACAGGCTGCCCATAGCACGCTGCTATTGTAGGCTGACATTCAGGATCTGCTTTTTGCTGGTACTTTATATGAGGTCAATATAATTTGCTTGTATTTGGCAGCAGAATAAAGAACCCTACAATATTTTCATACTTTAAAATATTTTCATACTTTATAAAACGTCTGTTTTCTGCACTCATCGGTCTTTGCGAGAGTGCTCAGCTTTGCTGTTCCTTTCCACAATCCCACACTCCCTCATCAGAGCCCAAAGCCGTGGGCTCTTGCATGACTATTAAAAGAAATGTAAGGGGGACGGTGCTAGGTGGGGGCGTGTGTTGGAAAGGATATTTATGTCATGGGTGTCAATACTTATAGTGAGTAATGAATGGGAAATACTAAGGGACAGCATACCTGGGCAATTGCATTCCACATTACCTGTCATGACTGATAAAGCCCAGTCTGCTTTGCATGTGAGCAGAACTATACTTTCATCTGTTTCTAAAAATGAGTGTGACTTAAATAAAAATGCAATGTGTGTTCTTCTAGCCCTGGCCCAATTTGGCATAGCACGCTGCAGGGCTGGCCTGATAGTTTTGACCAAAAGCAGCATCCAGCACATGTTCCCATGGGCACACAGTAATAATGGACCTGATGCCACCATCTGCCAGAGCCCATCACAGGCACCAGATTCTTGGCAAGGACGTGGTCTTACCAAGGGGAGCTGCCAGTCTGTATGAGTGTTGTCTCTGTATCTGGTGTTACATAAGGATCATCAGGTAGCTCTGTCCCACCACTTGCAAGCTTTTGATCCTTTCCATTTAATTGGAGTTACAAGGACAGAAATATAGGAGTTGGCTCTACATCTAGATTAATGGTGTTCCAGCTGTACTGTTCTTAATAGTTCATCGCTCTTTTAATCTCCTAAGTATGTGAAGGAAGCAGAGGTGGTTATTGTCTCTGTTTTTACCTAAAACTCAGGTCACTACAAAGCAAAAAATTATCTTGCTGATCTTGCAGTTCTTCAAGTATTACCCCAATGCAGACCACACACATGGAATTTCTACACTAATTCCAGTAGATAAACACTTGTAAATACTGCAGTTGTGTTTCAATGCTATTGTCCATTTATCTTCTATGTGTGAATGATGGGAAAGAAGAATTCCTACAAATTGAATATTAGGTTGCTGACACAATGTAGTCAATTACTTTTTAAAATATGCTAAATACAAGTCTTCAAGGGCATATGCAAGACTAAATAATTTACCAAATAATTTTCTTATTGATTTAATGGTAATAAAATGCTAGCTGTCAGCTCTATAATATGACTCCACATATACTCCCTCCTCATTGGAAAAAAAAGGGAATACAGCCCTGCTGCTTATAGCAAACATAATTTGGAATGTCGTAAATAGAACAGGTAATCCCTTCTGAAGTAACAAGTACAGAAAAATCCCATGGGAAAAAAAAGAGATTACTCCAATCTTAGCTGGAGTCAGGATTTTTTAAGACTCTAACTTAGAATCAAAATTTAAAAGTCATCTTGAAATGCGTGGAAAACTCCTGATACACACACACACACATAAGTATATATATGTATACACACACACACATACACACGTTACCAGCAACGTCTTCTTGCTCTCTGTTTTATACAGTGAGGGGATTTCTTGGAGATTTTTCTTTGAAGTATGGACTTGAAGTAAGTATTGCTAAGAAGTGAATAGGCTCAATCTGAAATAGGGAGGATCTAGTTCTGGGTGAGTAGTCATGGGAAAGGACTTTGAGTGCAGTGAAGCCAAGGGGTTGAGGCTGAACTGAACTGCACTCCCTTGTTAGGACACAAGAATAGCCATATTAGGCTGATGAAAGGTCCAGTCAGTGTGGTATCTCATCTCAAATAATGGCTGTTAGACAAATCTAGCATAGAGCAGAAGAACAG